CTAGTTCACTGTTTCGGTCTCGTCTATGAGATTACACCAAAGTATGTATTAGCCGAGTGAGCCTCGCAAGTCATTTTCTGCAGCCCTCGGATTCACTCGGGAACGAACTAATCAATGCCAAATTCCTTATCCTTCGCCTTTTTGTACATATACTTGTTCAAAGGGCAGAAATTTTACACCCTGTACGATTAGCAACCGCTGTGGCCCACTCGCTAGCCAGTCTTGCTCTGCCCCCCACAAAATTGTTCTTATCCACCCAAGCATCAACGGAAGCTTCGTGAGGGAGGATTTCAGCAACTTAAGCGTTAAGACAAATTCCCCGTGATCACTCATGCTCGAAACGCGTGGTTGGAGGCAGATTGTATAGAAGGAAAGGAGAATGAAAGAGGTAAAACAAAAACTCGTCGGCATCATTCCTCCGCGCTTACATCCGGGTTTTGCGCCTAGATATGAGAGCTATTCATGCGCAATAAAGTCCTATAGGGAAGTAGCTTGGACCGGATGCAGAGAATTCTTAAACGAGGAGGCAGACTCTGCGAGAAAGCCACTTGACATTTCAGCATCATAACATCAGTCATCGAAGCCTCTGATCTCGTATTGACAGATAATAAACAGTAAAACCTCACCTGGAAGAGTAAGAAAAGCTGAAGAGCATGTCGTGAGAAGTACGGAAGGACGAGGCGATTCGGAGTGAATCGAGACAAGGAAGTAGTAAGAGTGGAGCGCGGAAGTTAGTAGCAGAATTCCTGACCATTAACGCTGTCGCGTCAACGGCAGAAGTCTAATGAAATCATCCGCAGCCGTTGACGCGTCGTTGTCGCCGTTGTCTTCCGGCTAACGACTTCAGCTGCCGTCCACGTCGTTGTCGTGACGGAACTTACGAACGAACACAGGACGCACTAGTCAACTACCAGTGGAAACCATTATGTGGAATCCTGGGTATCTCCAGAACAAGAATCCAGAGAGAACAGGCGTGTGCACCTGCACCTGCCACCGTCATGGAGCAGCTTTATCGATGACATCTGCTTCTACCCAGATGAGCTGTTTATCAGTGATTGTATTGGGCCGATTAGTGGGCAATGGAATGAGTGACGTTCTAACCTACTCTACTGGGAGCACCTATGATGGATCATCGTCACGCTAAATGCAGACCTTCAGGTAGAACCGGCACTGGGTTCAGATGGCGCAAAACTGCCCCACGTTGTGCCAAATGCGGCGCCAAATCGACACCAGTGTCGATCCTGACAAAGGTCGTGCTGACCGACTTCCTATTGCCTTTTCC